TGGCGTGTTCTCTTTTTTTCTTCAATAAAGATGACCAGCTCGCTGTGTTTGTGATGAAACCTGCTTGTGTAAGCGTCATCAACGTGTTGATCCGTTTTAATCAACCGCTTGTTATTACTCTTTCCCACATACCCAATATCCACGTCATCCACCGTGACATCTTCCTCAAAGAAAGATTCTGTAGCCTCGAAAACACTCTTTTTCATTTCAACGGCGTTGTCGTAAATATTGAAATCTTGAATGATTTGCCGCTCAAACGTTCTTTTATCAGAGGGATCGTTGTAAATACGGATTGTCGTAAGAAAGCTCATCGTGTAACGACAACAGTAGACAACCTATAACTGACCAAATTTCCCATTCTTTTATTTCCTGGAGTATGCAAATGAAACGAATTGCCGACAGGATTCGTACATTCTTTTCTTTTTTTCACAAATTCAAACAAAGAACCCGGCAGAGAGAAAATTTCTCATTAAAACGAGATTTTTCACGTGTTGAACAATGACAAGTGAAAAATGCACACAAGCGCACGTGCAGCAAAACAAAAGTATATATCTATCTATCTCTCCATATGAAAACCTTTTTGAAAACGGGTGTATATATATATATATATGTACTGCGCTTTTTCATCGTTTCCTTCAAAAGATGCTACGGTTAGTACCCTTTGGGGTTTTTCTTCACTTTTTGTTGAAGTCTAAACCTTTTGATGAGTTTTTTCATTTCCAAAACGTGATTGCAAATCTCTGTGTGTTTGTGGCTAGTGCGTGTGTTTACATCCATTGAATAGAGACGTCTTTCAAGCTATCATTGGCACTTTTTTCAATCGCTTAATGTTAAAGTTTAAACCGTTTAAAATGTGACGGCCAATGTCTTTTTTTTTTTTTATCTTATTGCTATTAGGGAACTTAAGCACCAGACGTTCTTGGTACCACGGACGCCAACGGGAAGTATTTTTGCAGCATGACAGCCACTGCGCATGTCAAGACGTTTTTGGGCTACAGTCACGGACTTCAAAACGCGAGTTCTCAGGTTGAAACCAGAGGTTCAGAAACGTGAGTATGAAAACTGTTAAAATTGTCAATATTTGATGTCCAATATAACAGTTTCCAATCCTTGTATTTTCTTTTGTTGTGTTAGAACTTTAAAAGCGTAGTAGAATCTTTGAAAGACATTTTCAACTGAATTACTCTGTCCGCGTTCGTGGTGATTTCACGTTGGTTTGCTTAATGATTTGCGTTTGGCGCGTAAACCGCGTCCCTGATCCAGTTCTGCGCGGCCAGCCATGCCCTTCGTGAATCAAGAACGTCTGGTGCTTGAGTTCCCTATTCTTGCTCTTCGTGTGAAAAGTCATTCGTTAAAGGAAAGGAATGTCTTCATTCTAGATAGTCACGTCCAAAAATATATATCTATATACAGTATATATATAATGCAACTGGAAGATATTTCTAGGCTTCAGAGGTTATACAACGCCGTATATATATTCACTTGGAAAAGTTAGAAAGGCTTTACAGTCAAACCAGGTCAAGCGTACCCCCCAAGAATACATTAATGAATTTATTATTCAAAAGTTGAATCCGTTGCTAGTTGTAGATTTCAGAGTGATCTCTGCATTCTTGCATGTGTAATGAGCCGTGAATTCACACGCGAGGCAGTTATGAAATTTCTACCAGCTCCATTTTCCCTGAAATTGATGTAAATGTCTTCTAAGAAGCTTAATCCATTCAAAGATTTCCAATCTGACCAAATACAGAGAAGTTCTCGTAAAATATTCACTGCTCATTACGCATGCAGAAATGCCGCTTTGAATTAGACACCAGTTACGGGAACGACCAACGGATTCATTTTTCAAATAATCAATTCATTAATAGAATCTTGGGGGGTACGCTTGACTTGGTTTGACTGTAA